AAACACACCTTAAGGGTGGTATAGTGCACGCGCAACTGGCTATTATGCAAATGTATATGTTAGGCAGCGATGTTCTAACAACCTGTGTTCATTATTTGTGCTTTTTTTTTAAATTCAGAATCGGAAGAAAATTTGTTTATATAGCAAGAAGATTTATAAATTCCCTCAATTAGGTATGTCAAGTCTGTCATTTACTTGCCATCTCAATGTATCTATTGGACTTTCTGGGGCCACGATCTATAAATATAGCTGGATTAAATTTAACAGAGCTCATAAGTAGGCAATTAGAAGCTTCGTAATAACCTTTGCGAGTTCAGCTGAATTTTCATTTATGTATGGTGTAGAAGTAGTTAAAGGCGTGGAGAAAGACACAGCAGCTATTCAGTATCTGATTTAAAATTATTCGGCCAAAACCATTTTCACTTCGAATTTGCTTCGAACCCAAAATTTATTCCTAACGAAGAGTTATCTGTTTTTGTGCGAACGATGCTTACATTGATTGCAATGAAAGGCTAGTGCTACTCGTTGTAATCGGTTAGCATGAGACACATTCAACACAAAAGTGTCCGCGTGATGTCGAACTCGCGACAATGACCTCACCGTGATACAAACCCTACAAAGTAGCCAAAAAAGTTTTTTTACTTCAAACAGACTGAAGTCGTTATTAAAGCTAATGGGTTAAAATTAAGACATTGCAGAATTACCCGTGTATCATAGTTCAAGAAATTGAGAATGTCTGTAGCGACTAGATCCCCTTTAGAAACGACACTTTAAATAGTCTCCCAGCAATCCAACAGCTGTAGTTTTTTTCCACGGGCGAACTTTCAAAGATATTATTTAAAATTGTTTGACATGAAAGCTCAAAATTGTCAACTCCAAAAGTGGGAATCTGCTCCAAAGCCCCTTTTTCCCCGTTACAAGAGCTGCTCCAAATCACCCCGTGTCAGTTCCACCGCTGTTTCAGCAACTATGCCAAGACAGGAGTCAATAATCAGAAGCACAGTTTTTGCTTACACTGGTTTACAAAGTTTTGCTGGCTTGAATACAGTCCAATGAAAGACGCTGCATTTTGCTTTTCTTGTCGCGCATGTTTGCCAGGAAGCGGTTACATGGCTTGCACGTGACGTCATTCAAAGAGCGCTCCAATGACCACCAGAGAAGAGGGGAAGAGGGAGCTCCCCTCTTATCAGGATCCTCTTTTGTGCCTCCCGGATTTTCGCAGACGTCACTATTCTCCTCCCAGAAAATTATAGAAGATTAACCCGTCACTCAAAATTCTTACAAAAGCAGCTTTTGTCTTCTCCTCTTACATGGCGGTCAGAAGTATGCAATGTGACGTCGGTGCAACCCATGTATATCGAATGGGAACCTGAACCCGTTATTTGTGTTGATTTGGTTTCGAATTCGGAAAAAAGCGATAGAAAGGTTTAATCAGCATGAAAAATTTGAGGGCCATGTTAACAGTGTCGTGTCCTGGAATTGCTCCAAGGCAAGCAAAACAATTGCTTATATGCTGGATGAAAGCATTGAACAACGAGCAATTCGAGTTGAAGAAAAACGTTAACATTACAGCAAGATGTTGAAACGCCTAACTGACATTCTAGTTCTTCTCACGAAAAGAGGGGGGGAGGCCATTTACAGGGCACATTGAGAACGGCGGAAGTGCTGAACAAGGTCTCTTCTTAGATGTAGTTAATCTCCTAAGAATATATGATGCTGTGTTCCTAGAGTCGGGTCCAAAAAACGACTCCTACACCAGCATCAGAATACGGAATGATATCATAGAGTTACTGCATAAGTTATGATGTCTTCAATAACCCAGTGCGTTCGAGGGAAAAATATTTCACTCACGTGTGATGAAACGAGTGACTGCGATCATCACGAGCAACTCTCCGTTATGCGGTATTTTTTCGAGGTCAAGAACAGGCCAGTTGAGGTATTTTCTGCTTTTGAAAGGCTTCCTTGTTTAGACAGTGGCTCGGTGTTTTCCAGTCTTGGGTAAGTTATTTTTAAAAAGTAATTTGTTACAGTTAGTTACTTTCAGAAAACAGTAGCGAAGTTACCGTTACAGTTACCACAACAAAAGAGTAACTCGTTACAGTTAGTTATTTTTAAGAAGTAACGAAGTTACTTTTAAGTTACTTTTTTATGACAAAAAGATTAAGAAGAAACTAGAAAACGCCCCTCCCCAAGTTTTATTGCATAAAATTAAAAAAAGTGTGCTTTTTAGTTTATATTGTAACCTTGCAGCAGTTGCTTCTAGAGTGTATTGTCTGAAAGTTTCCCTCTTTTGATGGCAAACACGTCCCTACCCTTGCTCAACAGGCACCCAACTGGAGCGCTGGAAGGAATTGCACGGGAACAAACGCGGACTCAATACAAATGCCCAATCCTTGGTATCACTAGCACATTGCTGGCTCGTCGACGGTTTTTCTGGGTTCATAGAGTCCCTGGACATATTTCAGTTCGTTCCCGGCAAGCCAGAAACAAACCCCGGGCAAGCAGCAGTAAATTTTGCCTCAACTGTTGACACAACGCTGGAGTAGTGGTGCAAATCAAAACACAAAACATGAGCAGTGCCCTCCGCGTGTATTGTTGATGCACGGTTGATTCACCCGATTAAAAAGCGTTTGTCCAGAAAAAAGAAAAACCGCTACATAGATAGTGCTTCAAGATACTAAGATGAAAGTGTTCAGTAACAAAGGACAAGCGCGTGCGCAGGATATTTTTTTTTATAAAATCTACACGTTGCTATATTCGGGTCGTGACTCGCGAGAAAGAACGTATTCACAAGTTTGTGCAAGGCCAACTTGGCACTCGAAATGTTGAAAAAGACAATTTGGGAAGTGCAAGGAATAGCTAGATTGAACTCGTTGAATTATATATTATTCATAAAAAACTGGAAAGTAACGACAAAAGTAACGTCGTTACTTTCATCGTTATTTCAGAAAAAGTAATAGAACTACAGTTACAAGTTTCATTTTTAAAAAGTAACTCGTTACAGTTACAAGTTACCAAAAAAGTAACAAAGTTACAGTAACGCGTTGCTAGTAACGCGTTACTACCCAAGATTGGTGTTTTCCACGCTCCAAGCAGTTCTCATTAGTCTCAAGGTTTCCTGGGATTCCGTGGCTCTGTCTGCTTTGACTGGGGGCGCCCCTACTATGTCAGAACATGTTTTTGGTGTTCAAGCTAAGTGCAAAGAGCAGAACAATAAGATTGTATACATTCACTGCTACGCCCACTGCTTAAAGCTGGTGCTTGCAGATGGATGCTTGTCACAAGCAGAAGACAGAATGTTAGAGTTTTTTGGCACTTCTTTGAAAGTAGCGCTGTACGTCATGCTGTCTTCGAGTGAATTTGTCAGACTGCCAGCACACAGTTGGAAACTTTGAAATCTTGGTCCACGACTAGGTGTGCATGTCGGGCTGAAGCTGTAAAGGCCGTTCGAGAGCGCTACACTGAACTGTCGTGTGTGGTCATTGAGATCATAAATTCAACGAAGCTCCCGAGAACGGGAGCGAAAAGCAAGGGACTGTTCTCTCAGTTGCTGAGCTGCGACTTGCATTGCTGCTTGGAAATAGCTCACCGGTCCTACACCTTATTTTGAAGGTTAGCAGGGCTTTTCAAGATTCTAAGAACCTGACTACTGCACTCAATGGCAGTGCAAAGCATGAGAGACAATGATACAGTTTTTAAAAAGATGTTTTCCGAAGCTGCTTCGATTTGCGAGACAAATGAATAGAGATACCTGACGTTCGAAGAAAAAAAATCTCAAGTCGAATTGACCGAAATTGGGAAAATGAACGTTTCTATGCGCCGAAAGAGGAAAAGTTCTTTCCTATGCTCGACGCCTTTATTTGGGGTATCGAGGAAAGGTTCACGCAAGAGACTTTTGAGCTTGCATTTTCCACGCAGAATCTTTTGAGCCTCTCTGCAGGGAATGAGCAAATAGCTCTAATTACTAGCTTTTTTGAGACGAATCCTGACAACTTGCAGGCTGAATTGCGGCTTCTGATGTCTCGAACCAGCAACGAAAGTGCGAACAACATGACCGCATATGACTGGTTGGATTCGCTATGAAAAATGGATTGGAAAAATCTGTGTTCAAAGATCTTTCTCGTGTTCTTAAGCTTTTTGTTACGATTCCTGACACTACTAGCTTCTGTGAAAGCGCATTTTTCATGCTGACAATTGTAAAACCCAAGTAGAGATCTTCTATCTCGCAGGAGCGGCTTCACTGGCTGATGCTGCCTTATGTCGAGCAGGAAATCGCAGCATCAACCAGTTTTGGGAATATTCTGAAGTATTCCACAATGAAAATGTGCAAACTTTTGTTATGAACGTGTTTTATTCTGGTGGCGATAACGGTTGTGTTACTCCTACCGCCGTCTGTTTTCAGGTTTGGTTCTCACATGTTTAGTGTTTTTGTACAGTTAACGTATGTACCTGCTTATTATTGTTTAGAACTCATTTGTTCATTTCTTTTTTTTTGCCAGCTCAGTTGTCATGAGTTTTTACAATTGTGCACAGTTCATTGCATCTGCATAGCAAATGTACAATGCCCAAGTTCTCGCGCGATTCATTTTTTGTGTGCTTTCTGCAAAAGCCCTCGCGCACTACAACTGGATTTGTTTATCGTTCTAATGAATTTGAATATTGTTTAATAAATTCCTCTTATAAGTGCAAAGAATGCGTCTCCTTCACCCTCTTTCCCCTCACGATGAGTCCGTTCTCCAAAACGTGGACATATTGCTCAGAGCATGGTCTAAGTTCGTAGGCTTGTAAAATAATAATTTTGGGTAAGCAGATTATGACAGTATGCAGTTGATGATAGTATGCATCTTTAGCCTGAACATGATGTGAGAACGTGATGCCACAATCATGCAGGCTGTAAGATGATCTTTAAAGTTTCTAAATATTCAGATACTTATAATGTTTAAATCCAGTCATTTCATGTCTTCGCAGAATCCCAAGACATTTTTTGGAGGAGAACCTGGATGTATTGGGGAGGGGGGACGCTTCCATGCGAGTCAAGCCCCCTCGAGCGCGGAACGCTGCGCACGCCTACGGCCACGACACGCAGGCAGTTGAGGAAGCGACGTGAGCTGGTGCACCCACTCATTTCCCATATACAAAATAATTTGAGAAGCCTCAGTTTATTTGCTACAACTTTGTTAAATGTCTCCGACGTAAATGTCCGGGTTTGCAGTGCATTGTCGCATGGGGACATAACTTTTGGCACAAAGGTCAAAGAAGCAACTGTGCTTATTCTTGGCCTCAGGATCTAGGTCAGGGGTCTCAAACTCATTTGACTGTGGGGGCCAGATAACCCACTCCCGAAGAGTTGAGGGCCAACGTTAGGTGGAAGGGGGGGGGGAGGGGGGCTGAGAGGATTTATAAAGGAGGAGCCTCATGCATTCTGCTTTTTGTAAATTTGCAGTTTTGCCAGTGACATCCTTAAATTTGATTTGTTCATGGGAGTACTTTAGCCCTTACCGGTTGTGATAGCAAGTTAGCATTGCTGGCATTTTTTAATAGAACAATTCACTTTGAAATTCTGCGAACTTAGAATGTCTAAAAAAAATATACATATATATAATGGGAATGAGTGAAGATTGACAAGTGCAGCCATAGTAATACTGTGAACGAAGAGGGGTGAAGGTGATTATTGAATTTATTGCATTAAAGCTAAGGAAAGTGACAGGGAAAGAGAGCTGGCGAAAAATTGGGCCAGGAGCGGGGATTGAACCTGCAACCTTCGCCTGTCCAGGGCGACGTTTTAACCAAATAGACCATCCCGGCCACTGGTTTCGGCGGACTGAATTTCTGACCAGCTCTCTGTGTACTCTTTAGTTTCGAATTCGCTTAACTTGGCAGACGACAGCCGTTGCTGAGCTAAGGCCCCTGCTATTTCGGACATGCGGCAGTGACGTGGCACGTCATCTCAGCTTGCAAATGTTGGAAAGGGCTGTTGTCAAGTGCAGCCGCAGTAATATTCTGAACGAAGAGGGAAGGAGGTGATTATTGAATTTATTGCATTAAAGCTAAGGAAAGGGAAAGGCAAGGAGAACTGGCGAAAAATTGGGCCAGGAGCGGGGATTGAACTCGCAAGCTTCGCCTGTCCGGCGTGACGCCTTCACCGATTAGACCATTCCGGCCACTGGTTTCGGCGGACTCAATTTCTGACCAGCTCTCTGTGTACCGTTTAGTTTCGAATTCGCTTACCTTGGCAGACGACAACCGTTGCTGATTTAAGGCCCCTGCTATTTCCGACATGTGGCAGTGACGTGGCACGTCATCTCAGCTTGCGAATGTCGGAATGGGCCCGTCTTCCAAGATATCTAGGGAACCACTCCTCTTCATACGGACAGGCTGCACCGTATATATAATGGGAATGAGTGAAGATTGACAAGTGCAGCCGTAGTAACATTGTGAACGAAGGGGGGAGAAGGTGATTATTGAATTTATTGCATTAAAGCTAGGGAAAGGGAAAGAGAACTGGCGAAAACTTGGGCCAGGAGCGGGGATTGAACCCGCAACCTTCACCTGTCCGGGGCGGCGCCTTAATCGATTAGACCATCCCGGCCACTGCTTTCGGCGGACTCAATTTCTGACCAGCTCTCTGTGTGCTGTTTAGTTTCGAATTCGCTTAGCTTTGTAGCGACAACCATTGCTGATTTAAAGCCCCTGCTATTTCCGACATGCGGCAGTGACGTGGCACGTCATCTCAGCTTGCAAATGTCGGAAAGGGCCCGTCTTCCAAAATATCTAGGGAACCACTCCTCCCCATAGGGACTGGCTGCACCGTATTTATAATGGGAATGAGTGAAGATTCACAAGTGCAGCCGTAGTAATATTGTGAACGAAGGGGGGAGAAGGTGATTATTGAATTTATGGGATTAAAGCTAGGGAAAGGGAAAGAGAGCTGGCGATAAATTGGGCCAGGAGCGGGGACCTTCGCCTGTCCGGGGCGACGCCTTAACCGATTAGACCATCCGGCCACTGGTTTCGGCGGACTCAATTTCTGACCAGCTCTCTGTGTACTGTTCAGTTTCGAATTCGCTTAACTTGGTAGACGACAACTCTTGCTGATTTAAGGCCCGCGCTATTTCCGACATGCGGCAGTGACGTGGCACATTATCTCAGCTTGCAAATGTTGGAAAGGGCCCAATTTTTCGCCAGCTCTCTTTTCCTTTCCCTAGCTTTAATGCAATAAATTCTAGAATCACCTTCTCCCTTCTTCGTTCACAATAAATATATATATATATATATATATATATATATATATTCTTCATGGCAGTTTCTGCTTTCCTCAGTAGCAGCAATCTTGAATATACTTGTGTTTCAATTGTGGTTAACATGGTAAAAAGCTGGAAAGCAAAAATTAAAGCTAGGCAAAATAAAACTATAACAGCAGAACTATGTTTCAAATGGAAGTGAATCGACGACATGAAGTATGGCGTTTGTCATTTCTAGCTCTGAAAACTTGGCAATGGCGCCTTGCAGCCAGTGGCCTGCGGGTTGCGTCCCAGCGAGTGGCGGGCCGCGTGTTTGAGACGCCTGATCTAGGTACATTCATCGATCCATGCTGTAGCAATGTTTCGATATAGCTTTTCTGATTCTCCATCAAGGAAAACTTCAAAGGCATGCTGCTCATTCTTGCTCATTGAAACATAGATAAAGTTCTGTCCAATTTAAAGTACTCTTAGGCCCAGGAAGTTTTGCCTTTGCTCATTCATATAAGAATACCATGTTTATATGTTTGGTCAAAATGTGAATGAATGGAGGGTTGGACATTGATGGCTGTGCCCTTTATAACGGGCATTAGCTTTTGCCACCTAGCTTAAAAACAAAAAATGGGAATCTGCCGCTTTTAAGCCAATGCATTTCTCTCAATATCACAGGGCCATGGAGGTGATTGTTGGAAGACCCTCGAGGGATCAGTTAAAAAAAATGCCCCCTCCTCATTCCCCTGTCGTGGGAGTTGCCAATTTTTTGTTGGTGTTTTCTTAATTGTTGTTTTTAAATCAGTTCTCCCTATAGACCTTTTCCACAAGGGCGCCGCCATCTTGAATTGTCGTCACTTCCAGTATGGGCGGAAACATTGTTTTACCGTCGCCACGCCAATAGAAGTCATTTAGGACATAAGCCTAACCGTCACACATTCTCGTTTTGGCTCCCCTCTATTTTTTTGCTAGTTACAGGTTGAAACGTTTTATTATTTTGTCGTCACCCATACTGGAAGTGACGACAATTCAAGATGGTGGCGCCCCTGTGGAAGATGTCTATATAGTTTCCTCCGGCAGTCTAACCTCCTCTCTGCTGCATCTACTGCAATAGTCTTGACTAATCGATTTTCTTATTTTTATAAGTGCCTCTTGTGCCTGTAATAATGAGACAAACCTCCATGTATTTACCCAGTTTGCTCCCAAAACTAGCTGTCCATAGTCTGGACTGCGGGTTTTAATATGCACAATGCAGAGTTGCATAGGGAGGGATTGGTCCCCAAAATTGTGTCTATATAGCGAGGCATTTATATTAGGGAGACATACTGCATCACGTCAAGTTCTTTTACTGATTACTTCACGGAAAGCTTTCTATCTGACCTGCATAATCAAACTCATTGTCAATTGGAAAATATCATGTCTAACAGTCTCCAGAAATATTGCTTTTGGTCCACTGAATAATAAAGTATCCAGCCCCCAAAAAGTATTCAGATCCAGATTCTAAATCTAAAGGTACTGTGGAAAAACATTTTTGTCACCAAAGGTCATTTTTAGAAAACAAACTTTCAAATCTGAGAAGATATTTAAAGTGTAATTTGAAGTCAAAATAAAAATGTTATTACTTTTTTTCTAGCATTTCTACTGTTCAAGTTTAGGGATTAGGGAATGGTTTCAGTTGCATTTGACCTGTTCCGTGAATTGAATTTCAAAGCACAGCAAAATATTAAATTGTGCAGCTGTGGCAAAACTCCATTAATGACTACTCTTTTCCAAACTGAGTGGCCATCTTCGTTGGGCTTTCCTTGTGTGTTAATACACTTTTGTTTTTCTAGGTTATGGAGCCACATTGTTGGAGGAGACCAGCTACCCATTGAAAGTCACCGAGGATATATGACGAAAAGGCAAACAGCGCGCAGAAAACGGGGACTAGAGGAAGTGCAGACAGGACAAGCGCTGACTCTCAACTGAAATTTAATCACAAGGAAACAAAACAAAGAAAACAGCAACTCCGCCCACGTCACATGACAAATTCACCACGTGTCCAAAAAAACATCTCTTTGCTACTCAGGCCCAGTGACGTTTGGCTTACGCAGTTCGCGCCGTCTTTGATGATTGCATGCGCCTCTAAAATTTCTCTATTCACTCTTTCCCTACCTTTGCCAATGATACTAGTCTTACTGAAGATAGGTTTGCACCCACAACTATGACAATGCAATGGCAAATTCCCCCTACAGATCCAACCACAGATCGCAACGACAAGTCATGCTCCCGCAATCTGTGATTAACACACCTGCCCGTCTGCCCGACGTATGCTTTCCCGCACGTTAGTGGAATCGTGTAAACAACTCCCACCTTGCAAATAACATATTGATGCTCATGCTTCACCGAGCAGGCGGTGAAGCATGGTGGGAGTTGTTTACACGATTCCACTAACGTGCGGGAAAGCATACGTCGGGCAGACGGGCAGGTGTGTTAATCACAGATTGCGGGAGCATGACTTGTCGTTGCGATCTGTGGTTGGAGCTGTAGGAGGCATTTGCCGTTGCATTGTCATAGTTGTGGGTGCAAACCTATCTTCAGTAAGACTAGTATCATTGGCAAAGGTAGGGAAAGAGTGAATAGAGAAATTTTAGAGGCGCATGCAATCATCAAAGCCGGCGCGAACTGCGTAAGCCAAACGTCACTGGGCCTGAGTAGCAAAGAGATGTTTTTTTTTGGACACGTGGTGAATTTGTCATGTGACGTGGGCGGAGTTGATGTTTTCTTTGTTTTGTTTCCTTGTGATTAAATTTCAGTTGAGAGTCAGCGCTTGTCCTGTCTGCACTTCCTCTAGTCCCCGTTTTCTGCGCGCTGTTTGCCTTTTCGTCAGCATGAACCAACTAACCCACATCGCCACCCTTATTCAGGATATATGGTTTGCATGCTGTTCCTGCACCCATGTCACCAAAGATCAGCGTGGAATTGTGAGCCACCTGGCTGCCCATGGTGATAAACAATCCAAGTGCCAGCATCCTCCCATGTCTGGCTCTAAAACCCAAGTGCTTGGAAACACTCAAAAGCAAAACAGCGAAAAGCCATTTAAGTGCAAGCTTTGCCCCCAAAAGTTTGCTTATAATTCCATTCTTACCTTTCATAATCAAACACATACTGGTGTCAAGCCATTTAGGTGCAAGCTGTGTCCCCAAGCCTTCGCTCGCAATTCCTATCTGCAAAGCCATAATAATGTGCACACTGGTGAAAAGCCATTTAAATGCAAGCAGTGCCCCAAAGCCTTTGCTCAATATTCCAGTCTGAGAAAGCATTTTCGAGCACACACTGGTGAAAAGCCATTCACATGCAAGTACTGTCTTAAAGCCCTCACCCAATTTTCCAGTCTACAAAGGCATAATCAAACACACGCAGGTGAAAAGCCATTTAAGTGGAGGCACTGTCCCAAAGCCTTTGCTCAAAATTCCTATCAGAAAGATCATAATCGAACACACACTGGCGAAAAGCCATTTATGTGCAAGCACTGTCCCAAGGCCTTTGCTCGAAATTCCTCTCTTAAAAATCATATTGGAACACATACTGGTGAAAAGCCATTTAAGTGCAATCAGTGCCTCCTAACCTTTACTCGAAATTTCCAACTAAAACACCATACTCTAATGCACACTGGTGAAAAGCCATTCAAGTGCAAGCAGTGCCCCCAAGCCTTTACCCGAAATTCCCATCTGCAAAGCCATAATCGAGCACACACTGGTGAAAAGCCATTTAAGTGCAAGCACTGTCCCAAAGCCTTTGCTCTAAATTCCTCTCTGAAAAGTCAATCAAATACACACTGGTGAAAGGTCATTTAAGTGCAAGCAGTGCCCCCAAGCCTTTGCTCGAAATTCCGATCTGCAACGCCATACTCTAATGCACACTGGCGAAAAGCCATTTAAGTGCAAGCAGTGCCCCCAAGCCTTTGCTCAGAATTCCCATCTGCAAAGGCATAATCGAACACACTGGTGAAAAGCCATTTAGGTGCTAGCAGTGTCCCAAAGCCTTTCCTTATAATAGCAGTCTGATCCATCATTGTCAAACACTGTTAAAAAAACCTCACAAGTTCAAACAGTACCCCCAAAACTGCTTAAAATACGAGTTTATTTGCCAGAGCTAGATGCACATCTGTAGAATGCCTTGCAGTTTACCCGTAAGTTGAGCCTGCCCCATGGTATTTGCACCACAAGATTTCTTGCTACCGGTTGGGACACTGCTACTTGAGTTTCCCTCACACTGCCCAGCAGGTTTTGTTATATATTGGCACTGTAGCCCTTATGATTACAGTGCAATGCCCTTTGGGACTGCATTGATGGAAGTTGTGGATAATTTGGAACTGACTAACATGCTCATATTCAAAGTGTTTTCGCCTTCCTCCTTTGCACTGGCATCTTCACAGTCAGGTATTTATGACACCTGTTTTTAGATATCACTTCCACTTGTGTTTAGTTCTCAGTATTCTCTTGCTCCGTGTTCATGTTCCTGGCATTTGTTTCCAGGTTACCTAGCCATCTGCATCAGAATTTTCCGACTGAGGTGCAAATTGTTTGCTGGAAACTTCCTTTTGCTTTTTTTGTGTAACGCATGAGAATAGTTTGTTTCTCTGCTTCTGTAATGGCTAACATAACTGTTTAATAGAAAGAGGGATCAGTGTAGCTAAGTCTCAAAAATACTAAGTTCGCCATGAATTGGCTCTGGTTACAGGATCTTTCGAATCGTTGTGCAATGTGTTTATTTTTGCAATGTGTAATTAACTTGGAAGCATATCTTTATTGCGGCGATTTTTTCTTTTTGTTTATTTCGTTCATTTTGAACAAAATCTGCAGATAAATATGTAATCAGCATTCTGTTTTACTGTTCTTCAGAAATAAAGGTTGAGAGTCAAGGTCCCGCAGTGTTGTCTTTTTTTTTCTTCGATTGCATATCTTTGCTGAGGCAAATTAGCCACGGGCAGAGTAGCTCTTTAGGAAGTTCCCACTTTGCCATCCTGCTTGATGCTGGGATCTCACTGTAGCAGTTAAAAGAGTGGCGACTTCTGGTGTTGGTCCTGACAATACCCCAATACCTGCCCACTAGCAGGTTTATGTAGGAGGAGACATCATGTTTTCAGCGCAGATGTTTAATGCATGTGCATTGCACTGCAACCTCAAATCGTGTGGAAAAGAGAATTGAAAGTCTAGGTTAACTTCGGACAGATTTTATTGGGCTGGTACTCCTCGGCACAGGCATCTTCGCAATTGTGTATTGTTAAACGACAGTTGCTGCTTTTCAACCATTACTACCTAGCACTTACGTGACTGCATTATTTTGTTGCGCCAGGCACTTCTTCCCGGGTGCTTTAGTTGTCTCTGTCTGCCAGGATTTATAGATTAGTTACAGTGCTTAGTGTTCATTTTTTTATAGCTTAAGGGGCACTGCAGCTAATATAAGGTTACGAAGCATGTAGAAAGGCCTACAGATGCATGTACAAAATCTGATGACAGGGTCTCGATTGTTTGCAGTTTGTGCTGAGTTTAGAAGTCTTGGGCCCACCCTGGATTTGCTGAAGGCAAAAAAAACAACAATTAGAATCACTGGGAAACTGAGAACGTCGGCGCGTTTCTTCCGAACGACCAACCTCCAGCATGCGCTCCACGTCTTTCGGCATGCTTCGGCAATGTATCCGCATTCAAGAAAAACAAGTTTTTCCAAGTGGGATTGCTCTTCAATGAAGACAGCACTTGAAGTTGCTCCATTTATCTGGCCTGTTTATATTCATACGATGCATGCTCACTAGACAAAATCAATGCTCTATAAGCTTTACTTAGCAATGCAGAGGCCAAGAAAAGCTCGCTTTCATTAATTCAGGCTACACAAAAATGTTGTATTAACACCAGAAGAAATACTAGGCCTTTAAAGGTCTTCAAAATGTAGAGCTGTCGAAAAAAATGATAAAGAGCTTTGACGCTAAAGTAGAGAGGAAAGCATCATATATTTCATATCTTACTCAGACTTACCTTCCTTAATGCTCGTGTGTAAAGCTTCTAAAGCTAAAATCTAAAAAAAAAAAGAAGCGAGCATTTTTCACAGCGAAGTGAGATAGGATGAATTTTTTTTTACTTTTCACAGCCAAGCATGCCAAACGAACGAAGAACATGAAAATTTTCATGTCAAATAAAGCATATCTGCCGCGAGCACCAGGCCTCTGCCATCTGTCGGATGGTTGCGCTCTGCCCCACAGTGACCTCACTCAACCGCCGGAATCTCGAGAGCAAAGACAAGCCTCGCTGTGGTCGCCGCGCCCTGAGTGAAGCGGTGGCGTAAGTGTTTTTTAGACGGTAAAATTCTGTTCATGAGTTAGGAGAATATTACACACTGCTTTGCAGGCATTCCAAATGGCATCTATCAGAGGCTTTTAGGGGGTCGGCAAGTTAGCTCGCGACCCCAACTCTGCGCGTGCCACTCTGCATGCGCTGGTTCGCAGATGTTTTAAAGGCCATGGGTCTGACGACCTTTGAGGTGCTCGTGGAAGAGGCTTGTTTTACATAAATGTAGCTTCTTTGTGAATTAATGCTATAGTTCACACGCGTATGCAGTCATGTTTTATTTTTTAGAAGATGAAATTAGTTTGTATGGTAGCAGGAAAAACGGTCAAATTGCCCCCAGTCGCATTTATGAGACGCATTGAACTGCCAAAAAATATGCACATCATTATTATCTTAATTTAGAATGTTTATACTTTTTCCCGACATTCTTTATTCCAGCCTTGTGTGTTCGGAAAATACACCGTTTAGTTTGAATTGTCATTTCCAATTAAAAGAGACACTGCTGCAGGTCTACGAAAGCTTCCTCACCCTCCAAACTTCCTACAGCTTCACTCTGGCAACAGAGCAAAACTGGAGGAACAGCAAGCATTCGAATTGCATGAACAGTGGTAGATGCTTCACTAGTAGCAGAAAATGTAGAACCTATTAGGGTCACAGTTTGCGTGAGAAAAGCTTCTGGTATTTTAGCTTTAGGACAATTTGATTTAGCTAAAATCTCCATTTTAGAGCCTAAGGGGTTATTAATGAGCTAGACACCTTCGCTTTCGTTTGTTGTAGATTACTTGAGGGATGGTATAAACAAGTCCACAGATACCACCAGTGAAGTTCATTGGAATACTATCCGAATCCAGCAAGGGACGAATGCGAGCAGGGTATATAAATAAATGTTCCTACTTTCATTACTTTGCCCCTGTACTTGGGCTGTCTCAGTTCCGATTCTCTCTTCATGGCCAAGACTATATTTAACATGTTGCTGTAGCAGCATGCAGCTTTTCTGCTTCGGAGTTTTTGTTTAAAAACAGATACAAAAAGTAGTATACATGCCATATTGCACCTACGTCACATGATGACGTCGAACACCGGTATCCACTATGCTAGTGGTTGACTCGACAGCCCTTCGCAGCGAAAGCAATGGTAAACTGCGCCGCCCTCGGCTGTAGCAATTACTGCTTATTCTGACGATCGTCCGATCGTTTCGTCGCAAGCCCCGCGAGACAGAGTAGCCGTGAAGTTAGCGAAAGTATGAGCGGCAGGAAGGGGATGCAGCCGCGGATTACCGAGTTTGCGGGACGCATTTCGCAAGGGCGAGCAACGGCACTTTTCTACCGTTGTTTACGTTCACGCACGCCTTTGCATCGGCTGTTGCCCGTTCGTGGTATAGATGGCCTTTGTCTTTCGTTACACAACGCCGTTTATACGCTTCGAGCGTACCTTAGGGGTTCCCGGGCCGAGTACGGGCGATTGTCGCGAAGCGAGCCCTGCCAGACGGCGATCGGTTAATTGGCGGCGGCCCCCGTGGGCAAGCTCGCCGAGACACCGCCGCTGCAAGGCATCGGTTTGTGCCATCCGCGAGAAGGGTAATCTTAGCAAGGAGCGAAAGCATGCAGGCGAGCCGGTTAGGAAACATCATAATATAAACCCTCCATCTTTTGATTTGTCCTTGCCTCAGGGTTTAGATTATGACGGTAGCCTTGCGTTGTTTACCAGTATTTCGCAAAATCGTAACAATTTTCCTACAAGCGACTCCTAGAGCCGCTCGTCAAATGTTGAAGCACGCAATTCAGCTTTTCTTTTTCTTTTTTTTTGTAGACTCGACAGTTTTTATGTTTTAAAACTGCGTCGGTGGCATATCGAAACTTTCTGCTCGTAGCGCGATCGCGCCAATGCCGAAAAATTATGCACTTACTGGCTAACGTCATCACCTAAGCTCGGCACGTTTTTCCAAGTTCACATGTAACATAACTGGTAGCATTTTTGAAAATATGGTGCATGTCCGGTCACTTAGCGATATCCTACGCCTTGGTGAGCGCATCCGCGCGGTGTGAGGTCAACCACCGGTATGGTGCGGGGGCCCATTCTTCCCTAGCATGACGTCACTTGTTTATTCAGACCATCAGCAGCATTGATTGCGTGAGATGTAAATGTATAGTGATGCTCCTGCAAATGTCTTCATATTTTTTTTCTTTCACATGCGAGCTGCGATTCATGCGTTGCATGCCCTGTCAACCATGCCTGAAACGTTGGTTG